TATAGGAAAATTATATACTACTATAATTATAAACTATTATTTAAGGTTAAAATTGAACAGGATTGATAAATAATTCTTTTTAAAATTCTTGAGCATGCAGGCACAATTAGACTAATTGATGCATATTTGGTTTTAAATGAACATAATCAACACAAACATTTGTACAAAGGATTTTTGTATTCATTACATTCAGTAGTCAACAGATTAGCAATCTAAATATGATTTTTATCTGGAAAAAAAAATCATACAAAAAATATAATGAATGAATGAATGAAGATGGAAACGGACTTGTTGATTAAAAGACTAAAAAATAAAGCCAACAAAAACAGTATATTAGAATTGAAATACAGTTAAGATATGACAAAAGAGACAAGCAAAAATAGACTATTTGAAACCAGAACAGTATTTTTTTTTATAAATAAAAGACATAATAGCAATGCACACAGTGAAAAATTGTTGGATTGTTTTGTGAAAATCTTAAATATTTTAATTACTATATTTACCAGTGATAATATATTTATGAAAAAAAAAAAAAAAAAACTAAAATCCCCACAGTTTCCATGAACTTCATAACCCTCCCTTAAATATGGTTTTGGTCCATGATAGTAAGCAACTTGATATTCTCCTGCTGAACTACTTTAGCAAAACATGCAATTAAACTTAGCTAACTTGTCATTGAGGTATATGGGGTAATTTTGGGGGAAAATGTGGGCCTTATAAGGCAGGAAATATGATTATGTGGTCAGTTATATTGAAAATTGTACTCAGAAATGATGATAATGTAACAATTTCATTTGTATTAATCTTAATCAAAAGGAATGCTTTAGAAGCAAGTGATGGTGCTAATTCTATTATTTCATGATTTTCACTACTTTTAAGAATTTTAAATTATTTTTTTATAGATAAAAAAAATTGATGCATTTGTTAAAAATGAAATTAAGTGAAAACCACTGTAATATTTTCTCCCAAGAGATAGATTGTGTATAATAATATTTGTCCAGCTAACAAAAACAAAATCTTTAGTATATTAAAATGAACGTAATTGTTACTTCAATGAATTTTGTATGAGACAGTGGAATTTAAAAATTTTTTGCTCCTTTATGATTTCATTTTAATGCTTACAAGTTAAATTTTTACTTAGAATATTTTTAAAAAGCTGAAAAAAATCAAAAACATTTCTCCTATGGAACATGTCAGTATATGAACACAAACTGATGTCATTGTTTAATCTATTTTGTAACACATCAATTCAAAATTGGATTTTTAAAAATGTTTTAAAACCCATAGATGCAGATTTTCTGACTATACTTGGTCCTACCATTGTGTATATAAATATCATTTGAAAAAGATGTCCCAAAAGTAAGATTTTAAAAAGAATCATAATTCAGAAACATCCTACTTTGAACATAAGTAAAGTATATTTAAAATAATTGACCCAAAGATTATTTCCTCAAGACTAGAAACTTTAAAAAAAATTTTAAACATCCTCATTCTTGCAATCTAACTTCATGTGACATTTTTGTTCTACTTTACAATACAGTAATGTCTCGAGATATGAGCATACCAATATATGAGTTTTTTGAAATATGTGCCAGAGTTCGGATGATTTTTTGCCTTGAGATATGAGCTGAATTTTGAGAGACAAACGAGTTTCAGTTAAGCATCTGCTAGTTGACACAGCAAGCGTCAAGCTTTCAGAGTACTTCCACTTGCAGTACACATGTTCATCTCGCTCTGGTAGTATCAGTTGTGCTGTGTCTTTTTTTGCCGTTATTTTGTAAAATTCTTTCAGAGACACCATGAGTCCAAAGAAAGTAAGTGTAAAGAGCAGTGGTAAAAAGCCAAAATGTATGATTTCACTTAAGATAAAGAGGGAAATTATAAAAAAATATATGAGGAAGGCGTACGAGTAATGGATTTAGCAAGACAGTATAAGCATTCTACATCGACAGTAAATAAAAAATTAGTTACAGTAATGGATAAAATGTTTTAAAAATTTTTTAAATTAACTGATAAAGTTAATCTTTGATATTGTAGACTAGGCTAGCTGTTGTCTCTCTGTCAGTTGGCCTATGACTTATCTGAACTTCATGGTTTAGTAGTTTATTTCTTTACAATTTGTTTTTTCTCTTTTATTTTATTGTTTGTAAAGTACATTTCTTGTCTGTCCTTATTTTTTGTAAGAAACCCACAAATACAAAAATAGAGGTGAGTTTTAGGAAAATAAGGGTGATATTTTGGGGCCTGGAACAGATTGGAAGTATTCCCATTAATTTCAATTGGGAAAATTGATTTGAGATACAAGTCTTTTGAGTTACAAGATTGGTCTTGGAATGAATTAAACTCATATCTCAAGGGATTACTGTACTGTACAATTATCCAGACAGTTTGGGACAGGGGTTGAAAAAATATGTTTGGATAATTCAAAATTCCAGAATTATAAAAAAAGAATGAAGGGAAAAGTAATTTTCTGAAAGAAATTTAATATTTATATCATCAAATAATATTTTCAAATGCTTTGTTCAGTTTATTTTTGATGGAAAAATGCATAAGTTTTTTACTGTTTCCAGTTGGCGTTGTTTTTATGCTACTAACTCCCAAAGCAGGATTACAGTAAATGTATTTGTAAGGTTAGCTTCTGATTGAAAGCACAACCAGCTTAAACATTTATCAAATGTAATTATTGCTTCCATGTTCAAACTGTGATAATTCAAATATGCTCTTTGTATGAAAACAACGAGGAAATAAACAAGTATTAATTGATTTTATCAGTATTTTTATTAAACGTTGAGTATGGTTTGAAATTCTCAAGATACTTGTCTGTGATTAAATATTAGAATGCAAGTATTTTGGATAATTTCAATTTTTCTCTTCATTTCACTTCCAGGTAATTGAAGTCCAGAATGAGGTACAGATAATCAAGGAATTACTATATTAGTTTCTTTTAGGAAGAACTTATTTTATGGCTTTCATTGTTCTTTTCTTTAACATTAAAGCAATGTATAGAAATAGTTGTCATTTGAATTAAGTATATGTCTTGTCTCATTAAATCATTGATGGAGAATTGAAATAGTTGACACAGGAATCCATGAAATATCAAAGGATTTACTTTTAACTTTATCTAAGTTTAAAATTATTTCTTGTTGATATTGCAATACAAGATAAGGTTACAAAGTCTATTTGCATATTTCTGTCACATTTGGCATATTAATTTCATTTTGTAATGAGAAATATTTTTGCTATTTCGGCTGCTGACAAAATAGCACTTAGAGATAATAATTTATCTTCCTATGAAAAACAAAAAGTCTAAGTTATGAAGATGTTTCATTACCTGACCACAACCTGCAAATAAGAATATATTCCTCACTGGGTCATGGTTCAATTGATAAAGAAACAAAATTTATTTCATTTATTTTAGAGACTGTTAATAGGATAAACATGCTAGAAGCACAAGTGCACCAAATTTTGATATCTTAAGATGAAATATGAAAATGCAAGTAAAATTTAGGAACCCTTTTCATCCAACACATGATGTCAGACATTCAAAATTCAATTTACTTTGAAAATTCTTTATGAATAGTTAAATGTCACAATGTCTAAATCTTAAGTGTGCTTTTTTTTCAGATTTATTTACTTTTTTAGCAACCTTTTACAGGTTATTTAAAATCAGAAAATATTTTTTAGATTGTAAGAATGTTTTGGAAATAATGATTTACTGACACAAGTTTTACTAATTAACCCATAGCTGGATGGAAAAGAGGATTCATACCTTTCTCAAGGGTATTTGCACATAAGTGAATATAACAAACCTGACTGGAATTGGAACTCAGCTCTCCAATTTCCAATTTTGAGCTGTTATCTATTATACCACCTGCACATTCAAGCTTACAGCACCTGGTATTCCCAAGTGGTCACCCATCTAGGCACTGACCTGACTCAACATTGCTTAACTTCAGTGATTGTATGAAAACTGGTGTTTCAACATGATATGGTTGTAAGCCTCTGTAGTGTGCATTGCTAATTATAATAATTCATTTTAAAATATTGGCATATGATGGTTTCATGTTTTACTAATGCTATTGAAAATACTAAAAAAGTAACTTGACACAACTATAAAACAATTTGCTAACAAAATCAATTTACAATGTCAGAATCTGACTGAGACAGGCAACAATAACGAGACTGTAATCTTGATCATAAATATTGGTTCCGAAGGGATACAAAATAAATATTCATTGAAAAATAGTGAAGGGATGATTAACTGAAAAAATGTGAAAAAGATAGAAATAAATATTCAAATTTAATTAAATAGTCATTCTTCTTTTTAAGTATAAAAATTCATATTAACCTCTGAAATGAACATCATTAAGTCAGGAGATAAGTTCCAGAACAATCTGATAAGCATACAAGGTAATAAAAATAGTCATTTATCTTTGGAAAATATATCAGAATCTAATATATTTATAAATGAACACATTTCATTGTTTGAAATTAAGAAAAATGTTCCATTTATAATATATTAGTAAAATTTCTATTTATAAAATAATTTCTGAAGTGACTACAATAATTTTTTTTTTTAAAAATAGGGAGACGAGTTTTTTGTTGCTTATGAATGAATTAATCTTTTAGTGCAATTATCAAGCATTTTCTGTTCGAAGACATTGGTTTTCAGGTAAAAGTTATATAAATAATGAATTTGTTTTGAAGAGGATGAGCATTTTTTGTAATGAAAATAATTTTAATCTGATGTGATGTTTTTAAAGCAAAATAGTAACTAAAAAAATAGGGTTCATTTACATATAAATAGCAATAAACCCTCTAAAATAATTATTTAAAGGCTAAATAAGAATACAAATGAATTTTGAAAATAGGCACTTCAAGCTTAGATTTATACTTAATCATGGCTTTCGAGTAACTGGGAAAATGATGTCATGAAGCATTTGTTAGGAATTACCCATGATGAGAAAAATAAATAAAATATTTTTATCACTCTGTTGAACTCATAAACTTTTTTCCTTAAATTGACCAATGTTTCCCTTTTGTTCTTTGGGCAAATTTGGAGAAGAGCACTTTCGTGCAGCATTTTGGAAACAATCTCCTCTTGACTGTGCATGTTCACGTCCAGCTTTTTGAGCAGCCACCGTAGCCACCATGTCAATTGTAGCATAATCTATTACAGAAGATCTTGAACTTATAGTCTTACTTTGATTACTACTAGCAAGTTGTGAAGAAAGATCAATTTCTGCATAATTTAATTGAAGTTCACTTTGTTCAATCAATCCCAACTGTTTAGTATAGGGAGAACATGGTGGTGTCATGTCAACATTCATGTAGCTGGACATTGGGGCTCCGTCCATGTCAGCTTCTTGCCCTAAATTGACATATGAAGGATCAGGTTTTTGAGGTGCCTGTTGAACTGGTGTCAAACTGCCTTCAGTATTTACTGATGCTGTTGGTAACAGATTATCAAATGTAAACACCAGGCTTTTTAGAGGAGATTGTGGACTACATGTTTCTAAATTATAAGCACTTCCACATTTTTCACTTTTTTTTCGTTCAACAAGTTGATATTCTTTGCCAAATCGAGGTCTCAAAATAGTTGAAGCAGGACTACTCCGCACATTATCCTCACTAGTTATAGTCTCTGTTGTACATTCGACTGGAGATGTCTCTGGCGAATAGGAACATTCATCAGCTTTGATCTGTTTCCAGTTAGACAACATTACATTTTCATTATCTGAAAGATAAAATTAGTTTTTAAAATATCAAAAATAAATTGACACAAAAGTAAAATAAAAACATTCATGGAAATAAAATAAAAGTATTCTTTATCCATTTTTATTTAATATTTTAAAATAAATATGGTAAGATCTTAACTTCTAAAAGGAGTTAAAAACAAGTTTTGAATGAGAAAATAAATTGCCAATTTTGGTGTGTATTCAAAAATCTATTTTATTGACTGATCAAGAAAATGTGACAATCTTAAATGTTAAATTCTTCAAAATTCCAAACTCACTTGTTAAAACTAAAAGATAAAAGAGTTAAAATTGTCTGTTATAAAAACGTTTTATTTATAACCATTATAATTAATGTCATTTATGTAATTGCTGTTTCATTAATTTTTTAACTGAAACAAATACAATAGTCAAAAATGACACTTGAATGAACCTACAAACTATATTGTAAGCTCAAGTGAAACAATCAGTAAAAACTGTAAATGTTTGAAAAATATTCTGTCATTAAAGAGCATAATTATGTCAATAATTGTAATTATACATGAAAGATTTACTAATGCAACAATGTTTTTATAAAAATCTATTCACAGTATGTGTGGTGTCACATGAAAAATAGGAGTGAATGAAAACTGTTTTCTGGAACATTGTAATGTGAGATGATTACGTCACTACTTTTGATAAAAAGTCACATGCTATAAATAATATTTTAGCTATTACAAATACTGGTAATAACAACTTGTCAGAATAATAAATTTATTGCATAAGGCTAGAATGTTAACATCCAATGAACCATAAAATTTAGTTTTTATTTTTAAATTGAAAAATCTAGTTATCAAACACTTGACAGTTTTGATAGTGGCTGGGCAGTAAGACTTTATAAAGAAAAAACAGTTCAATCTAATATATAGATTTTTTCTATCTTGATCTAAAAAGGACCCTGCTATCTGTTGCTGTTATAAAGTTAAGCACAACAACTACAGCAACATTTTTCCAATTTATGAACAATTCTGATTAAAATTAATCAATGGAGAAACAGACTTTATATGAGAAAATGCAATGGAGTTATTAAGAGTGGACAGTAATAAATAAATAAATGCTTTTACAAATGTAAATTTTAATGTGTGTGTGTGTATATGAGAGATTATAATAAAAAATTTTTGAAGTCACTACACAAAAGCTTTCATGTTTCAGTACTATGATTATACTTCTTCAGGCGATGGTAAGTTATTGGTGATTAAATGATTTTTATGAAAATTTAAAAACAAAGTGTTACCTCTTTTTCCGAAAGTTAAAAGGCGGGGACATAAGAATTAAAAATAGACTTATGGGTATGTCTTGATTAACCAATTAAATGTCAGATCTACGCCAAATAGAAAGGTAAGCTCAAAGGGTGGAGATGGGTGAGTTATTTTTCATGTCACAATAAACTGGAACATCGACATGCCATCAGTGATGATTGCGGAAAATATGCCAGCGACAAATGTATCATGATTGTAGACAAATATGATATATTCAATTTTTTTAAAGAGCGTTGAAGGGAGGGTGGGTTAATCAGACATAAAGTTAATAGAAAATTTTTTTTTATATTCAGAAAGTTTCTTAATGGGGCCCTGTAGATAAAATTAAAAATGTGGAACATCTATATACGATATTAATAATACTAACTGGATGGCAATACATAGCAATATTTAAGCTGAATAAACAAAATAAGGTAATTATCCATAGTGGGTGGACCATTATATACTAATAATGGCTATAAGAAATGGTAATACGCAATTTAAAAAAAAATTAACTATATTTTAAGGTAAACAATAAACAGTTAATTCACTTCTTTGGTTTAACAGATTATTTTGGTCAGCAAATTTGATTATTTGTAATTTTTCATTTAAACATAAGAAGCACTGTTCATTTAAAGATTTACAAGTTCTAGTTTGTTTAATATTTTCCATTTTACCATAGGGATTTTATTCTAATTAAGTTCAAAAAATATTTAGAAAGGGTCATCCTATTTCTGTACGCATTATTGGAGAAAGATAATACATGTTGGTACTAGTTTTAAAAGAATTCTTGGTATACCCAATAAAAAAATTTATAACTGTTAGATTTTCTATATTAGAAATAGTGCTTAGGTAAACAAGAAAGTCTGTTCGACATCTGTTTTGTAATGGACGTTCATTAGAATTTCTACAATTACACTTGTTGGTATTATCTGCATTTGTTGCTTTGAAATGGCAACTATTACTCAGGCTTCTGTATTGATTTAAAATTTTATTATAATGTTTTTTAATAATTTTTTTAAAGATTATCGGTACAGCTATAGCTTAATTTTAGTGTATTTCTATTAAAAATCTTACTAAGTGGATTATTTCTAGGGAAGTGTTTCTCAATTAAATTGAGAATCTTCTGCCCTAACTTAGTACTAACCATTTGGTTAAATGGGTGTGTGTACCAAATGATTTTTCTGTTTCTATTTTTATTCCTACTATTACTGTTATGTTTTATATATATATGATATCAGGGCACTTATAGCCACCATTTTTTAAGACAGTGTTATAAGATTTACTATGCTTGTAAAATATTTCTTCACTGGAAGAGTTATTGCTAATCCTATATTCTATGGAGGAGGGTATGTGTTTGATTACAGATGGAGGATGGTTAGAATTTAGGTAGATATATATAGGATTGGCATTTGTTTTCATGTAGGATTGGAATGCATTATTAACTAGGTCTAATCTAGAATCAAGGAAATCTACTTTTTTTTAAATTAGTGTTGATCTTAACCTTAAGGTTTAGACTTTTAAATTCTCTATATATTAATTTCCTGATTTTGTCAGCTTTAATTTTTTTAGAAAAACAGATATCAAGCAGTCTGTTGTTTACCTAAGCACTACACCTTTAAAAAAAATTGAATATATCATATTTGTCTACAATCATGATACATTTGTCGCTGGCATAATTTCCACAATCATCACTGATGGCATGTCAATGTTCCAGTTTATCACAACATGAAAAATAACTCACCCATCTCCACCCTCTCAGCTTACCTTTCTATTTGGCATAGATCTGACATTTACCTATAAGTCCATACCCATAAGTCTATTTTTAATTCTGACCTTATGTTCCCACCTTTTAACTTTCAGAAAAGAGGTAACACTTTGTTTTTTAAATTTCCATAAAAATCATTTAATCACCAATAACTTACCATCGCCTGAAGAAGTACAATCATAGTACTGAAACATGAAAGCTTTTGTGTGGTGATTTCAAAATGTTTTTATTATAATCTCTCTTTTTTATAAAGATATAATAATATATTGGTCTACTTTGTATTGAGCACTTTTTTTAAAAGTAAATGCTATATATATATATATATATATATATATATATATATATATATATATACAGTAGCGTCCAAAACTAAGGGACAAAATTTTAAAAACCTAATATTTGTTAGAAATAACAACTGTGAAAAGCTGAAATTTTGACAACTGGTAGTCGTTATCATCCATAATAACATACTAAAATTTGAATCATTTGCAAAGGATAGAAAAAGAATTATAACAATTATTTATTTATTTTCAAATTTGGAACGTCCAAAAGTAAGGGACAAAATTGAGAAAAACAATGTAAACGGCAAAAAAACAATAAAAATACATGTACAATCAATATTTAGTAAATGAGCCCTTGCTCTCAATGACAGCTGCACATCTTCGACTACAAGAACGAATCAGTTCTTGACAATCCTCGATACTAATTTTAGAACATTCTTCTTGAAGCTTCACCCACAAATCCTCTGTGTTAGTGGGATTTCTTTCCATAACTTTCACTCCTAAAGGTCTTCCAAAGATTTTCTATTGGATTTAAGTCAGGACTTTTACGTGGCCAATCCATAATTTCCAAATCTTGCTTGCTAAGGTAACTCATTAACACCTTTGCCTTGTGACATGGGGCATTATCTTGCATAAAGGTAGCCCTATCGAAACCTGAATTCTGTAGGATTGGCACAACATGATCTTGAACAATGTTTTTATAGATCTGCACGTTTACACGAGTTTGTAACCAGACAAGAAGCATTGTACCTTGGCTAGAAAACATTCCAAATACCATGACGCTCCGCCCCAAACTTGACAGTTTTCTTAGTACACTTTGCATTAATCTTTCACCAATACGTCTCTTTACATTGTTTTTTCCATCATTTCCAAATAAATTAAACTTGCTTTCATCACTGAAAAATACTTTTGCCCAATTTTCATATGTCCAAATTACATACCTGTTTGCAAACTCTAATCTCTTCTTCTTATTCTTCAAACTAATAAGTGGTTTCTTCCCTGGGGTTCAATTAAACAGCCCTATTTCTTGCAGTCGTCTACAAACAGTCTGTCTTGACACATTAACACATGAGGTACTATTCATAACCCTTTTAATTTCTGTGCAAGACTTAAAACGGTCCTTTAATGACATACGCTGCATTATTCGATCTTCTCTTGCCAAAGTTTTGCGGGGTCTGCCGGTTTTAAAAGCACTAACTATTTTGCCAGTATCATTGTAGGATTTAACAACCCTGCCTACAACACTCTTGGAACGTTTCACTTTCTCTGAAATCTCTCTAATGGTGTGCTTTTCCTTGTGTAGCTTCACAAAAGCTTGTCTCACAGAGTAATCAAGTTTTTGGTGTTTAATGGTGGTGCCGGCTGATGCAACGTTTACAAATGACTAAGTAAGACTTATTCTTTAGAGGAAATCAAAAAATTTGAATATAGCATACTGTTTACATTGTTTTTCTCAATTTTGTCCCTTACTTTTGGATGATCCTATTTTGAAAATAAATAAATAATTGTTATAATTCTTTTTCTATCCTTTGCAAATGATTCAAATTTTAGTATGTTATTATGGATGATAACGACTACCAGTTGTCAAAATTTCAGCTTTTCACAGTTGTTATTTCTAACAAATATTAGGTTTTAAAATTTTGTCCCTTAGTTTTGGACGCTACTGTATATATATC